TTTAACAACACCCTTGCGTCAAAGCGTCATTATGAATACATCTGTAGAGGAACCTTCCTTGCTGCTTCCTCTGTTCTTTTGCGAGTTCCACAGTTTGCTCATTGAATAATGAAAGCCTGTCAAACTGCAGCCATTAAAATGTGCGGAATGAGGGCCCTTGTCTTCACTCTGGCCGTCTCTGAAAATGACACGATGTCTGTCCTTGTGAATGGAGGCTGACGACTTGGACAAACCGTGTTACCGTGGAGCAGGCCGCAGGCAGGCTACCAGTGACATTCTCGATAGCAGGAACAAGGATCCATTTATGTCCAAAAATACTGTATTTAAAATGGCTGCCTTCTAAGGAACCTTTTGAATTTGTTTCTACTTTAACACTGTCCTATAAGAGGTGTCAATCTGTTCCTCCCACATCCAATAATTCTCCATGTTAGCCATTTTCCAGGACTTTAAAAGGAGCATCTGCTTACCGAGTGGTATAGTGATTCATTCAGTAGATTGGCAGGGGGGGAGAAATTAAGCTTTTGAGCTCAAATTTTGGAACTGTTGGTGTAATGGAAAATGCCAAAAGGTAGCCTAGTTGATAACGGGCAGGCATCGATCGGCCTTGACTCGGAGGCCTGAAGAATAAGCGGTTCATGCTAACATTATTACCCATCCCATGGTGCAACTGGTTGGACTTCACACAGCTAAGGTAAAGCTATTTCTAGGCTTCTGGCTGCCATAATTTTGCTGCCGTTGGAGTTGAGAGCTGAAGGATGGAGAATCAATCTGCTGGGTAGATTAATTGGACCCCGCGGTTTCACGGTGTGCCGTGTGGTCATCATAAAATGTTTTGTTGCCAGCGAGAAATATCCTTCATGGTTTATTAATGACTTTTCAAGCATCCCTGCAAAGTCAACCCCCCCCCCACTGCCCTTTTGGAATTTAATTGCCCACCACATGAAGCTGAAGTAATCTTTCACCGTCGACTGTTGATGCGTCTGTTGCGAGCAGGCCATGGCTGGAGAGGTGGCAGATGTGTGGGCTTTCCTGGCTGAAGGTAGGCATATGCTGTTTTGTGAAATGACAGGATGTCTGGTTCTGGGTACCGGCTGAGATGAAGCACCCTACTGAAGGGAGGAGGAGTTGACTTGGGAAGCAGTATGCGTGTCTGGTTGTTGGGCGATTGGTGTAAATGTTGAATCTGAGTGTAGTTCTGTTGGATGTATTTATTTGAGTGATTGAACGTCGTCTTTTCCTTTGGGTGCCTGGTTGTTTTGCTCTCCAGCTGTGGGTCGCTTTCGGATAGGTCTCAGGAAGGGGTTGTTGTGGTGGTCCAGTATCAAATAGGTAGATTTGGCGGAGATCGGATGGGAACGCAGATCCCTGTCCCTCATTGAATGGGTAGCGGCCGCCGCCCGTTCCGGCATGGAAGCAGCTGGCGCGGGGACTGCAAACCATCTGTCCTTACTCAAGTCTACTGGGGACAACGGGAAGGGTGTCCTCCTCTTTGGTGTCATTGGCCCAACCTTCGCTATGGAAACCGCCTCCTCGCCCCCTCTGGAGAGCCGCTGGGGTGACTGTTCTCCGTGTCCGTTCCCGGCCAGCAAAGGAGAGAGGTCCGATAGGGAAGCTCATGCTATGCCGTTTACGGACTTTATTATCTCCGGCTGACGGCGCCTGCTGGAAGTCATTAATGGCTCCATTAGGTTTTCTACTGCCTGAGTCAAACTGCAAATTGCAAGTTCTTCCTTTGCAGGACTTCAGTCGCCGCAGAAACAAACAAATGTCAAGATGACTATGGTCTTAAACTGGTTTTAGTGTTAAAAGATAAGGCATCTCTAAAATCATGGATGACTTGGAGAACTTTCTTGGAGTAACCTGAAACTATGCGTTTGAATTACCTTAAGGGTCAGCTTTGCTGGGTTTCAAGTAAGCTAAGTTTGCTAGACGATCTCATAAAGAACTGTAACCTTTTTTCCTCAGCATCTTCCATAATCTAGTTCTAAAAATTAGACCTGACATACAAAACGCAGTTCATTTTGATTAAGTGTGTTTTGCCCGGTGACTTTTAACCTCATGGATACTGGAAAACTGTTGCTATAGGATTTCTTTGTTAGACATTTTGAAGAACTTTTTTTATCATGTTTGTAACCTTGATTCCTTGTGGGACCTTGACGCCTCCAGCCAAAGCATTACGTATCGCTCAGAAACGGGACCTTTCTCAGGGGGTGTAAGGCAGGGGTGGAATAACGATGCCGGATTAGATATCGGAAACACTGGGCTTCTGCCTCTGTGCGATGAAGGCGTAGGTGGCCAGGGGATGGATGATGGGAAGGGTCTTGCATCTTCAATGCAACCTCGGCACTTTCGTTGATCTTATAGATTAGATCCAGCCCTCTTTTCAAAGCCAGTTCTATATATATGGGCGTAGGGCTGGACGAGGAGATTAGGCTGTCTGACGGGGAAGGACATTTCAAGGACGCTTCAATCCATATTTTCATCTGCTTCATTGTTCCCTCTGTGAACCACAAGGGATTAACTCCCTCTAAGCACCAAATTCCGCTAAATTTAAACGGGATAGAAAAAAAGCGTCTAAAAATACCGTGTGGTGCACCATGTGGTTTTGAAGATGCGAGCCCTTCGAGGTTCATGATTCCCAGGGTTGTGTAAGTGGGAGGCTGGTATGTCTGTGAGAGCCAAACTGTCATTTTACCATGAATGTCAAACTATGAATAAAGTGTCATTTTACTGTTGTTGCCTGATGAAGCTGCAGCAGTCTGTAGCCCAGCCAAAATTGATTGTCCTGCTTTCTTTAAGTGGTAAGACACTCTGATTCCAGCACAGCTGTATTGATTTGAATGTGATTTCATCTTATCATATATGTGTGTGTGTGTGTGTGTGTGTGTGTGTGTGTGTGTGTGTGTGTGTTTTTTGTGTATAAAATATGTATGTACTGATACATGGATAAATTGAATTTATTCAGTGGCACATTAATTGCTATTTAATGACTCAAATACAAATTTTGTTTCCTGGTTCCTTCCTTAGTTGTGAGGCTGTTTATTTATAAATGGTGAGATCTGTTGGTTTTATATTTCACCGGGAAGCAATTATTTAGATAAAAATGTACTGGCCATGCCTTCCACCCCAGAAATCCGTCATCTGCAGCTGTGCCATGAAGTCGAAGTTGTTTACTGTCCTAATGAGTGTGGCTAGACTGGGGCGCGTTCCCCCCGCTTTACCCTCACTGGCATAAAGGAAGTCGTCTCACTTTGCTAATTAGGCCTAACAGGATAAGCGGGGGTGCTGCTCTGTGGCATATCTTTAGTGGGAAAACAGTTCTTTTCTGATAAAGGGGGATTTGGCTGAATTTCTGGATAACGCGCTCATGAAACCGAGATGGGACCTTATCTTCTGTGTTATTGCCTTCTGGTTAACGTCGGACGCTTGAGGGTCCCCTTCCTGTGTCTGTCTGAGATCCTTTTAGATTAGCTGCTGTTCTAAACCCCGTTCATGTTGTGAGCTTCACATGAGTTTAAAAAAACTAAACTAGAGCAGTTTTCCATTTATAACATTATTGCTGTTTGTGTAAATATATCATTCAGGATGCGTGTCATTTGTCGTGCCCAAAACACGCAAATATGTGTGTCCGCAGACACACACACACACACACACACACACACACACACACACACACACACACACACACACACACACACACACACACACACACACAGTCTTATGTGACCTGTGAAGTCCCGGAATTAATATAACATGTGATCCCCGGTGAAGCATGGAGATGACCATTCCCTTTGCCTGAAAGCTCTTAATCATCCCAGGGGGTGGGCGGGGGAGGGCGGGGTAGCCTTTCTTCCCTGTGGACACAGTGTCCTCTTGAAGCCGGGGTACATTTTGGTGCTGTGCGGTAACGTTCCTGAGCTTGGCATGTGGACAGGTAGGAGTCTTACATGTGATCAGTGTTTGGTATCTTGACCACCTCATTAATAGCAATGCGAAGTGGTTCTCATCTGACCAGCTTGGTTAACTAAAGATTAACTAAAAATGAAGTCTTTTATTTATTTAAACCAGGTTTTTTGGTACCTTTTCTTATATTCCATCTTCCTCCTTCTGCAAGTCTTGCTGTTCCCTCCTCCTCCCTCCTAACTCCAGATGTTCTCTTGGCTGATGTCCATGTCCAGCAAGTCCGAGGAGCTGCAGAGGGCTGGGAACAGCTGTGATAAACTGACCCAATCGAAATCTGCTCCTGTCTCCTTGCTTGTGACGAACCTTCACATCTGTAGCTTGTTGGGCTGGGTGAATAAGTGTTTGCATTGCAGTTTAGTGTCTAAGACATTTTCCTGGGAAGGATGCTCAAGTTTCTGAACCTCATAAGTAACTCAGGAAGACACGAGGGGGTGGGGTAGAGCTTTGGTGGGCAGCACCCAGACGATTTTCTGATTTAACTGCCTGAGATTCAAATGGTTTGTAGGTTAATTTGCTTGACATGGGATGTTGACATGAAGATCCATTTTGCTCGTTTTAAATACGGCAGATATTTGACTGCCGGAATATTGTGTATCTATTTTTGAACCAACGGTTGCTAAGCTTGTGTCGCACGCCTAACCCTTATTAAATGCGGACAAGCCGCGTTTCCTGAATGTCGCCGTCTCTTTTGCAAGCAGATTGTGTTGCTGTTGTGGGATTGATAAATGATGCAGAAAGAAGGCATTATCAACCAGGAAACCCGACTCCTGCCATCTTGTGTGCACCTTCAGCTGTCATTGTGGTGTAACCCTTTGCTTTGCTCGTAAGAGAGGCGACCTAAGCGATTTTTCTTTTTTCGAAACTGGCCCCTCTGCTTAGCATTTTGCTGGTCCAGTAACGATATTTGACGGAAATCTGACATGGCCTCTTTCCAGTTAATCACTCTGGGCTTGTCCTTCCTCATGTGAGCAGATATCTCGATGTGATATTCTATAAGGCCACCTGATACACATCCGCCAAAGTTGGGTGACGGAAACGGCCACTCTAACGGCCGGTTGATTAGAGGCGTTGGCATAGCTGCCGTCTGTCTTTTGCGCCGGCTGAGGCGGTTGGCTGCTGGGGAGAATGGGGTGGGTATCCACCTTAGGTTGAGGACACCAAAGGGTAGGAATAATCTTTTGTCCCTTTTGGAGAGACACCATGAGAAGATACATGCAGGTCCCTCTCTCTGAGGCCGATGGAGTCTTCAGATACAGCCGGACACGGAGACGAACGTTTTTCAGTTTTGGTAGGTTGGCTGCTTATTCACTATAGGGAACCAAGTGTTGAATGACTTTCTCCTCTTGCATTTCAAGTCTACCGTTTCCAGTTGTTGTGCATGAGGTCCCCAAAGATATGGAATCTTTTGTGTCAGAGTTCTGGGATGTACCGGATGCGTATCTGGAATGGAAATATAAACTTCTCCGGAGGGGCTTGTGTTTGTATTATTGATCTTATCGCTGCAGTGGTGGAATTCTAGAAGATGATTGTCAGTGTGAAGCTGTCAGTGTGCATTTCTCATTGGCTCAAGTTTTTTTTTTTTTTTTTTTTGCCGAGTCAAAGAAATGAAATACAGAGTAGTATTATCAAAAGGTTTCTGACTGGGTATAAAGGTACAAGCTGAACAGGCAGAGTTTTTGATTATTTTTTTTTTGCCTCTGCATATTCTGGCTGTGATCTTTTTTTTTTTGAGAAATGATTAGTTGTAGAATCAGAGCTGCTTAGTGATTCTCAAAAAGGTTGGCTAATCCTCTTGCTATTTTCTGATCACTATCTAACTACTTTACATACTCTTCTAATACTTTTGCATCCAACCTTTCTAGTCAGCAGCTTTTGAATATCAGAGATCTGTATATCGGCACATATCTGGAACGGTACCCCTGGGTTCCTGACAAGGTGTTCTTCTGTGGTATTGTGTGAAAATTCGAGCAGGTTTATCCTCATTTGTGGATTAGAATCCGGTGGCCAGCAGAGTGATCATATACCCACTGGGGCCCTTGACTGAGAGAATGCGTATCCCAGCTTCTTTTGCTGTGTGGGGTCTGTTACTAGGGCTCAGGTTTAGGCTTTGACCCCACTCCTGTGTCGCTGTAATCATTTATGTCTCTTTGGCGGATGCTTTTGTCCAAATTGACAGCCAAGTGAGGGAAGCTTGGGGTCGGAGTGCCGGTCCAGCCAGCCAGCATCCCTGAAGTTGTAGGAGTTAAGAGCTTTGCTCATGCGCTTAGTAATGGTACGATTACGATCAGTCATGGGATTTGAACCCATGACCTGGATACGGGCACAGATTCCTAACCTACTGAGCTACACGGTGCTGCATTGCTTTGTTGACAGCCGTGCTGTGCGTAGGAGCTAAACTTGCATGGTGTCCCAGGATGGTCATCCCTGTGGTGTCTACAGGTATAGAGAAGCCCTCTGGATTTTTCTGGTTTGAACTTCTATGGTCCTCATGCAGGCACCTGGCAGCCATGGTGTCGTGATCCAGGCACTGCTGTCCATAGACTGCCGGAGCCTCTGCTGGGCAGCCATGGGTGCTGTCCTCGGTTACCTTTATATCCTACTGTACGCCTGCAGTTGCTTCAGGATTATGAAATGGTCTCTCTGTCGGTTGGTCTCCCTGCCTGTCTCTGTCTCTTTGTTTTTGTCCCTATCTATCGCTCTGTTTCTGTCGTCTGTCTCTGTTTTTTGTCTCTCTCTGTCTTTCAGTCTCTCTGCTAGTGTCTCTGCTTGATCCTCTGTCTCTGTCAGTTTCTGTCTCTGTCTCTCTATCTTTCTTTATGTCTGTCTGCCCTTCTGTCGATCTGTCACAGTGCTTCTGCCTTTTAGCACAGGCATGACAACTAAGAGGGCCTTTCTGTGGATAAACCCAGTTTTATGTGGGCTCCCCACCCTACCCTGGGCCACTTTTAATTCGGTCCCAGGGGGTAAATCTCAGTAAAGTGGTTGTCGTGCTCCCGGCAGGTAGGATTGAAAGCCTGTGTCAGCTTGTTTGCTTCGTTTCCGCTGAGTCATGTGTCTCTGAGGCTGACAGCATGAGCGTGTATGTTTTTAATAGCGTTGAGGGGGCGTGGCCTTCTTTGGGGGTAGGGCATTTAGTCGCCGGCTGCTCAGGGATCTGTACGGGGGGGGGTGGGGCCTGCGTTAGAGGGAGGGATCACATTGCATCCACCCGCAGAGCGGGATGAGACTCTGTGTCACATCTGACAGATCAAAATCTTCCCGACTGCTCTTGTTCACTGTCTGGGGTGGGGAGGGGGGGGTCGTGGCCAGATGTAAGACCTTCTGTGGTCCCTGAGCAAGTGCAAATTGGAAAGGCATTAAGAACAAAAGCGAATGTAAAACTGGGCTCTGAGCTGGTGAATAATGAATCGGCCTTTTGCCACGGGAGTCATTTATCACTCTAATATGTGGGGAATGGAGAGTTTGGGGTGATTCCCAAACGGAGCCTGCGGCCTGAAGGGGGCAGTGTTGTGGTGCTTCCCCAGGAATGTTAAAAGAAGCCCGGGTCAGTTAGGCCCTCGTTTTGCAGCCGTGGGAATTGGGGTTATATAATCCATTATATAATCAAATTATCATGCGATCTGATGTGTGAAATGTTTGTGGCCTTTTGGGTCCCTTTTGACCCTGGATTCTCATGCCTCTCTGGTCATTTAAAATACTATGTTTTAGCACAATGCCTCTGGTCTTTTGTGCCCACTTATCGCAATTTTATGCTTGTGCCAAAGGTGTGAGACCAGATGTAATGCGTGAAACGTACTATAATACTAATCTTTTGAATATTGTGGCCAGGTATTTTAATATGACTAAAACTTAGTATTGATTTTTACGCTGTCACTTTATTGAATGTAGAATTGTTTGTTTGTAATGCAGGTATTAAGTGAATAGTACAAACATCAGTTGAGCAATTTTCCCCAAAGTCATGTGCGTCTCATTTTCAGTGCTCTGACTTTCTGTTTTAGACTTGGCCCATGCTGAACTATTTTGGTATGAACAATATACAGTAAGTAAGTGATTCATTTGTTTGCTTCCTGTGGAAGAGCACAGAAATGGGAGGCATAGGGCTGCGAAACCCACTGTGGGGGTGAATAGTTTGCCCAAATGCATTATGGGTTATGGTGTCAGTTACTTAATTGTTTCTTATTAAGTTAAAGTAGTGAATGATGCGGAAATCTCACCAGCTAAAGGTTTTATGACCGTCTTTGTGGAAAGGCTAATGGCAGTTTTTTTTTTTTTTTTTCTTGATAAATTTATATTGGTAGTGGATAAAATAACCGTATCTTGACAGATTTACTTCCTCTCAAAACCTCTCTCGTCGTGCTTTTTGAAGAAACACTATCCCTTTTGGGCACCCTGGCGGGACACTGCGCTCTGTTCCCTTCTCTGTTTTCCTGAATCTGACATCGGTGGCTGGTTTATTTCCGGAAGACCTTATCTGCTGACCACCCCCCCCACCCAGTGTTGGGAAAACTCCCTGTTGGAGGTCCAAACTAGAAAGCCTTCAGTGAAACCGGACACATCCCGGTATGGACCGAGTCCCCATATCGATCCGGCACACCGGGGCAAGGCGGGGCTGCATGTCGATCGGGAACATGAGGAGTTCGCTCTGCAGCTGACCTTTCCTCATGTTGCTTTAGGGATTCGTGGCATGTAATCCCTAAGGTGGCGCGGCCTGACTTTCCCTCATTCGCTGAGAGAAACCGTTAGAGTGTTGGGTTTATCGTCTTTTGGAAATACAGAGCTTGGACAGAGAGAGGGGGGATTAGTTTGTCTAGTAAACATCTCCCTGCTTTTTTCTGACCTCAAGGAGATGGCAGGATGTCGGTGGGGTTATGTGGGAACCTGCAGACACCCCCAGCCCCCCATCCACCATGGCGCCGCAGTGACGGTCCGGGGCTGGGGTCGGGGGGGGGGGGCAGGTTGAAGCTGAAAGCATGTTTCGCTCCGTATGTGACTCAGCCGAGCACCGTCAGGCCGGCT